TTTTCTTTCTCCTTTGGGAAAAGCAACTTAAACTGTTCCGCTGACTTGTAGAACGAGAAACCTTTAAACTTGAAATTCATAAATAATCCTAATTGAAGCAGGTTTTCTTGTTTTAGTTCCAAAGCTGTTAACAGTCTAACTAGATTTGGTAAACAGTATCTTTATTTGGCTTTCCCCAGTTTCTTTCCTTCCCTTTTTGTTGGGGAGAGGGCAGTGGTTAACAGATAATTAGGGTGTAATATATTCTATCAGGGAAAAATTTCTGCAGGCTTTTAAATGCTGAGCTAGATAGTTGAGGAAAATTATACCTTATAATTATAATTACACAAAAAATAGGCATTGTCTCAACTCTTGGCCATATTAATCATGATTCCTAATTCAGTTCCTTTGTATTTCCACCACTGCTTTACTTTTTAATGTTTTTAAATCATTTTTGCTACCAAATGACAGCTTTCTTAGGCAACATTTCATATTGTTTTCACACCCATTTGTGTTTACAAAAAGTAAATGAATATAAGCCACCTCATTCTTTAAATACTAGGAATTGCATTATTCTGGAAACGGTGTTTCCTTCTGAAGTGCTTTATTTGTCATTGGATCTAGCTTTAAAGAAAATAAAGAAAACTCCCTGGAGTCTTAAAACAATCGGTATCTGGTTTGCTACTATATGATCTTCTAGTGAGAATTCATCCTGGAGTGAGCTGGAAGAGGATTATGATGGTGGTCAGCATTCTCATTTTCAAGCCTGACCCTTCCCTTTCTGAGACCCCATTTCTCATCTTAAGCAGCCAGGCCAGAGCTGGAGACAGGAAACCAGACAGCAGTCGGCCCTGATAAGGGAGAGCATTGTCTGAAGGGGGGTAGCCCTGCTTTCCCCCCCAACTCTACTTTCCTCCCTTGAAATTGAGTAGTTATACAAGAGGCACAATGATGTAGACCGTTTCTGAACCAGAACTGGGGCTAGTTTCTAGTACAGCAGAAAAACGAACCTTTTACCTGCCCTGTACTGATTCTGGAATGTTACCATATTCAGTAGAACATTAAAAAAAATTATCTGTATGTTTCATATCAGAGGGTTTGCAGTAAAGTTCTCTCTTTGGCAAAACAGGTTCCTAGAGGTTTTTGAAACTCACTCCGTTGTGCTGGAGGAGTGAAGTGGTTTTCACCATGCATTTCACCTAACCCTGGGACTGGCTTTACCCCTGATTTCCAGGAAGCAGGCTTGCCCTGAGGCATGCCCCTTGCAGGAGGACCCGGGATTGCCCAGTTTACAATCCCAGTTTACTCTGGGACATACTCAAGATGGTTGCCAATCTCAGGAAGGCTTGGGGATCCCGCCAGGGATGGCCCAGGGCTAGTCTCAACCCAGATCAGTGGAGTTTGGCCAAATCTAGACAGGAGAGATCAAGTGGATATGGAGGTCAGTGCATTCTACCCTGGAGAGCGCCCTGAATCAAGTGCGGGTTTCTTCTCCTCTGGCCTATATGCTGTTCTTTCTTCTATTGCTGTTGTTTGAGTCTAATCACTGAAGCCCACTCCTTTATCTGTTCCTGCACTTTACACCCTAGTACCTTCCAAAGCTTTGCACTCCAAGGCTGCTTTCATTAGGAAGATCAGGTTCCTGTTCCGCTTAGTTCCCCAAACAAGGGAGTTTTTCTCCCCCGAGCTCCCAAAGTGTTGCACGTCTACTTTGCATCTTAGAAGATGATGTTTCAGGCTGTCTCCCCTGGCAGCTGGGCAGATTTTCCGGGTGGGACACCTGGTATCCGGTCATTCCAGGGCCCTTGCCCTGAATTTATCCTAGCATGTAAGAAGTGTCGTTTGACATGTATTCATCTCTCAAGTATTTACTGAGTACCTGCTTATTAGAGCTAATCTCAAATTATGTGCAATCACGACTGAGTTATGCCACAGGATGGAGTGGATCTGTAGTGATCTAACCTGAAACGGCATTTGGAAATCTTAATTGCCGCTAGAACCTCCCGACAGGGAGTGGCACTGCACGCCCACACCCTCCCGACAGGGAGTGAGGCCAGCGACAGGGAGTGAGGACAGCGTGGTGCGGTTGTCCCTGAAAGTTGTCCCCCACAGCACAGACTTGAAGCAGAACAGAAAGAGCCCTGGTCTGCAGGCAGGCACGCTTCTATCCTTGGCTGCAGCTCCAACCAACTCTGCAAAACCCGGCGAGTCGGTTCACCTCTGTTCCTCCATTTCCTCATTTCTAAAATGGGGGTGAGGACCTGACCCCTCCACCTTTGTACAGTTATTATGAGGATTTCCGTATTTGCTTGGGCAAAGCTGCCAATTTTTCTCAGCAGTTTTATGGACAATTGCAGGTGCATTGGCTAGGAAGAATAAGAGCCTAGTTTGCGGCCTTCAGAATGTGTCTTTTGATCTCGCATCCAGGCCTTGCACTCTGAGACAGGGTGGGCAGGAGTGGAAATGGTTGCTACTGTAAGCAGAGTGACCTGTCTTTCCCAGGGACCAATGTGCTTGCAGAAGTCACTGTCCCATTCTTGCTGTCTGTGATGTTCTGTTGTGCCTTTGCTGGGGAGGTGGTAGAGTGGCAGGCCAAGTTCACCAGCCTTGAGGTCAGACTACATTGGGTTCAAATCCTGGTCCTACAACTTAGCAGCTGTGTGGTCTTGGACAGGGCACTTTACCTCTCTGAGTCTTTTATTGACCTCAGAGGCGTTAAATGGCACAGTCCATGTAAAGAACATCTCCTGGTAATTGCCGGGTGACGTCACATAGCCCCTTGCTTTCCTTGGTCAAGGGAAGTATCCTTCTGTAAAAACCTAGTGTTTGTGCCCATGCACACACCCTCCCCCTGCAGTTGCCTCCTCATCCTCTTCTCCCTCTCTGTCTCTCGTTCACTTTTTTCTATTTTAGCTTTGAGTAGAGACCTTGACTCCTGACTAGTTTAGAAGGCCTTGCTTGGTGGATATAAATTATTTGAGGGGTGATACTGTGAAGGTCACTGGAATACCCATGTCAGACAGGGTTAAAGCTAGAGGCACTAACTATTTCTAAGGAGGTTTGGTTTTTGGGGTTTCTTTCAGGGTCAGGCCTTTTGCGCCCATTTCTCAGGTAAGGGAAGTTTCAAGTGCAGGGGGCGGGGAGAGAGAAATGCCTGTAGAACTCCTGCTATAGGCTGAGAGCTCACGGGCGTGACATAATTTCATTGGTGGGCGAGCCTGCCTGATCTCCTCGGTGGTGGGGAGGGAGCCCTCCCAACAAAGCCGAGGTTGCCCGGTCAGGTGGTGGGTGCTGGTGCTGGTGCTGCTTGGGAAAGCCAAAGGCCAGCAGATCTAGGGAAGAAGAGGTGGCCTCCCAGGATCTACCAGGGAGCAATCAGCTGGCTGCACAGAGCAGTGGGGAGGGCCTTGAGCTGGTCTTTGAAGAATTAGGAGGATTTAGATAAGCCGGAAGGGGAGGGGGCATTCCTCGCCGGTTGCCCAGCATCGAGGCCAAAAATGAACAAAGACCTGGGGTGGGGGGCAGGGCAACCAGCACGAAGGGCACTTGTTGGAGCAGGGGGCAGCTGGTGGGGAAGGGGGTGCCAAGCATGGGCGTCTCAGCCCACTGTAGGTCCTGAGGATCCCGGGGGAGGGAGGTCTGTGGCTTGGGAAGGACTGGCTGAGAAAAGGACTGCGGAAGTCGTAGGTGGCGAGGGGGTCCGGGGCTGCGGCCTGGCGAGGGGGACACAGAAAAGAAAAGCTCCAGTCACACCGGCAGGAGGCACCAGGGGCCTGGTCCCAGTGACAGGGGTGGAGATGGAGAGTAAAGGAGGTAGGGAGCCTTCACGGATGACCTCCAGGTTTCCATGGTGAAGCACAGAAAATAAGGCCAATGGAAGGCAGGGAAGGGTGAGCCTTCAGTGGCCGGAGCAAGGAGGAGGAAGGCTTGGGCCTGGGCCCACTGATAGCAGTGCTTCCAAATGCTTTTCTGTTTCTTTTTTGTTTACTTTTGAAGGGAGAGGGCAGGACTAGTTGGTGGCTTTGTATCCAAAGGCTCCGGGGCTCTGGGGGCAAAGCTCTGATGGAGAATCATCAGGAGGGGAGGGGTCACCACTGCCCTGATGGTTTCTTCTGGTTATTTTTAAGGTTCCAGCCATCCCTGTTCAGGCCGGAATTTCCAGGAACTGGCTGCTGCTGCGAGCCAGTGAGTCCCTCCCAGCCTCCCACTCCCTGCAGGGTGGGGCCCCTGGGTGGAGGCCCCTTGGGGTGGAGTTGGGTGGGTCCCCAGCGATAGGGAGGGTGCTGGGCAGAGGCAGATGAGAGGCAGTGTGGCCTCACGCAGCCCTTCTGGATTTGATTATATAACGCCTCACGGAAGAGAACTGAGGGCTTAGGCGAGGCCTTGTGAGATATGTACTCAGCAGGATTAGACGTTATGGGTATTTTTCAATTTATCTTGGGTTGCCTGCCCTTGAGACTAAGATACAAAATTGTCAGGAGCCTAAAGAAGGAAAACAAGTATGTAACCCTAGTAGGGAAAACGAATTGAGTTTGCTAAAATTTCCCTAAGAAGGGTGTGGCATGCCACTCGCCAGGTGGCCTTGAACTTGAGAGCAGACCTCAAGGGTGTTGCGGGTGCGGGTTTCCCCTCCCCCAGCCTTGCTTCACAGGGCCCCCAGTCTGGAAACGTGGAGGGATTTTGCTGGGTTGTTACCTTTGCACCTGTCCCTATTTACATGCGAAATCAATTGCTTCACTCGGTCTTTCCGAAGTACAGGGTGTGGGCAGAATCTTATCTGAAGCCATGTCCTGTTTGGACAAGTTGGACTCGCCTTGGCAACTCTCCATAGGGTGGAGCAGATGGGTGGAGGCAGGAAAGTAAAATTGGGTGGCTTGTTAGCAGAGAGAGGAGAGAGGGCGGATTGTTTGCTCACTGGATCATTCTATTTCATCTGGAATGAAATAATTCACTTCTTTTCCCACTTACAATACAAGTTCATGCAAAGTAACTAATTCATGACGGACAAGGACTTAGCAATCCCCCGTGGAATTGTGTTCCTTTCAAACCAGCAGCTGAAGACCCAGGCAGGTGAAAATCATAGACTGGCATGAAGACGCCTTTCCAGGTAGGTGCCAGCGCCGAGCTTTTCTTAAAGGAGCCTCCAGCGTAGAAATGGCCGCTGACATCTGCTGCCTGCCGCCTCCGTGTGTCTGGCCAGGGCAGCTGCCATGAAATACAACTTTGAGCCATCAGGAGATTTTTGAAGTGTTTGGTAAAGAAGTGAAGAAAAGAAAAGTTTCTCTGGAAAGGGAGTTTAACTCAAGGTAGATTGCTTGCCTGTTCGGCCAGGAATTATACACACAGGCACACACAGTTGTTTTTATTTTTCTCATTTTTTCCCCCTGAAGTTTCTTTAAGGGGGAGTAAAGGGTGGGGAAAGGTGGCGTTTTCTCTTTTAAAACTCCAAATACTTGGAAAAGCGGGGGGGGGGAGAGGAGAGGAGACAGTCACCTGTGATGTGTTGGCTGGAGCCTCGGGGAAGCCTGGGTGGGCGAAGGTAACGCAGGACCCTTTGAGAATCCGAAGAAAGAGCTGAGGATATGGAAAGGGGCATAGAAAACGGGCATTGAGGTGGAAAAAGGTCAGAAGCAAGCCTTAAGCACTAGAGAGGCGATGTTGCTGCCGACACGCACACATTCTCTCTCCACCTTCTCTCTTCCCTCGCTCCTCCTCCCTCCTCCCATGCTGGGGAAGAGGCAGGCAGCTGCCTCTACGGTCAGTTCTGTAACAAAACAAGTGCCAGCTTCAGGATGGTCTGCTTTCAAGGGAGGTTCAGCCAGCTCTAGCCACCTCTTCCATGAAAGTAAAGTATGGCCTTTAAATGCAGTTTTGTTATCCTGAGTTTGCTCAGGTTAGCCTTAGAGTGTATTTCTGCTTAGCTAGTTAAATATAACGAAGATGTAAATGAGTTTATGATTGGAAAATAGTTGTGCGAAAACACAGAACCACATTTGTGGCCTCCTCATCTCTGTGGTGCCCACATAAAATGGTTAATAGAATTCCTGAGCCTGGTTAACCCACTGGGTTTAAAGACCCTGAGGCTTGGCAAACTGGATTTTCTGCCAGTGTCCTGGTCCGAAATGCCTGTTTTAGTGTGCCACCTACTGGTGTGACTTAAGATTGCTGTCAGTACTTAAGCATTTGTGGGGTTTGGGGGTGGGGGGCAGATTAAGCATTCTTTTAAAGTGACAGTGTCTCCAGAGCACTGAGTTGCCCATGGGTTCACAAAGACCTCCAAGTTTAGGGATTCCCCCCATATTTTTAGTGCTTAAGTTACTTTGAAGACATTGCAGTCACTCTCTTCTGATTCTAGGCCAGAACCCACAAACAAAGCCATTAGCAGTGATAACAGGGGTCTATTCAGAGATGTGGGTACAAAATAATAGAAATCTGCAAATAAATAAACAAAAATCTGATTTATGCATTCTTTAGTTAGGAGCTACAAATTAGGTATTCTAATCCTGTCATTCCTGAATCTTCCTCATTAGCTGAAATATTTGTGTAATAAGAAGTCTCCCTTCATCCACATTTGTATTATCTTGAGGTACAGCTCTGAACAAGTAAACATAACTTGTTAAATTTTTTTTTTTTTTTTTTTAGTGAAAACAAATCAAGTTTTGTTGGAGCCAATGTTTTATACTAGACTATGATTCTCTTAGGATTACAAGTCCTGCAAAGCACCAATTTCCTTAAATAAATCATAAAAGTCAACGAACAGGCTGGACTCGGTGACTCAGTCTGTAATCCCAGCACTTTGGGAGGCCAAGGCAAGTGGATTCCCTGAGCCCGTGGGTTTGAAACCAGCCCGGGCAACTTGGTGAGACCTTGTCTCTGCAATAAATCAAAAATTAGCCGGGTGTGGCAGTGCATGCCTGTAGTTCCGGCTACATGAAAGGCTGAGGCGGATGGCTCACCGGAGCCCAGCAGGTCTGCACTGGGGTGGCCATGAGTGTGCCGTGGCACTCTAGCCTGGGCAACAGAGTGAGACTCCAACTCAAAAAAAAATGAACGAACAATCGTGACTTTAATAACATTCTAAAATTATGAAAAGATACAGCAGGTTAATGTGTGATTCATTTCTAAATGGATCCAGTATATCACCGCTGTGGGCATTAGGCAGTCATTGAAAGCTGCATGAGCTAACTGGTAGAGTTAGAATGTGAACTGAGAGGAACTCCAGAGCCCACATCTTTGTGTATTCTCCTGTGCTCAAGTACTGGCAGCAGAGAGTTCAGGGTACCTCGAGGTGTAGGGATGCTGGCCCAGCTCAGAAGCTACTGAGGCCTCATCCAGGATGTAGATGACTGTTAACTTTGAGACTGAATTTAGCCTTGAGTTTTCATGAAGGATGCTCAGGTTGACCTCTAAGGCTAGGTACCTTAGCAAAGAGGCAGATACCAGATGTTGGAGCCAACACATTTAGTGTTGTATGTGCAGTATGGATATCCAAGAATTATGTTCCCATTTGTTGATGCAAATAATTTAGAGGGTGTGTGTGTTTAAAATCTCATTAGATAGATCTAAAACCTCAAGAAATAGGTGAGGGAGCAGGGTCTGCATTTTACCTGTGAAAAGACTTGCCCATGCCTGGGCTAGGGCAGTCTGCCTGAGTCTCAAGACCAGAGCTCTTTCCTTCTAAGCCTGAGAATTTAGAAGGATTTGCATCAGGATGCTGTCTGGTATAATAGATGAGTCTATAAGAGTGAATTCGCTTTAAAAGGCTGCGGGGGCGGAGGGAGGCTGCTGCAGGAGGCTGCTGCTGGGTGGCCAGCCGTGGGTCAGGGCTGCTAAATTATCTGACCTCATTGATGTAAGCTGGAGATCTCACATCTTTTGTTTATGACCTGCCATGGAGCACTGGACAGCAGTTCTTAGAGCCGTGTCTGTCCATCCAGCTGCTGGACTGGGAACTGGTTAATAAGAGATGCCAAGACAAAAGCGTTTTCATCCTTCATTATGAAATCATCTATTTTTCACTGGCTGTTGGGGTTTGTTCTTGCTGGGCTACATAAGAGGGTAGTAGCACCATTGATTGGAGCAGCCATTATCATCTAATTGTGTTTGTAGATGATAATACATCCTGTGATGTAGGGAAATAAAATTTTGGAGTTAGGGCTTTGTGTTGAGTTATTGATGAAATTCACGTGTCATCATGAGAGTCAGAATGAGCTTTCTTCAGTGACTCAGTGAAGTCCAAGCACTGCACAGTATTTCTTCCACAATTGTGTGTGATGAGATCTTGGTGTAACCTATAGAGTACAGACACAGCAGACCATAGGACTGCTTTGGGAGGTGGGGGTGGAGAGCCTAATCCTGAAATACAGGAAGTCATCCCAAATCTGGGACTTCTGCCACCTTTCAGGTGGAGCTTCATCTAGAACATGTTCACTTTGCCCCTCAAACCAGGGTGATCAATAAGGACACCTCTTGCAAAAGCACTGAGCACTTAAACCACATTTGATGGGGTTTTGTTTGTTTGTTTTGTTTTGAGTCTGGGGCCTCACTCTATCCCGTCTGGAGTGCAATCACAGCTCACTATATTCTCTACCTCTTGGACTCAGGCGATTCTTCCACCTCAACCTCCTGAGTAGCTGGGACTACAGGTGCGTTCCTCCATGCCTGATTAATTTGATTTTTTTGTCGAGATGAGGTCTCACTATGTCACCTGGGCTAGTCTCAAGCAATCCTCCCTCCTCAGCCTCACAAGTGCTGGAATTACAGGCATAAGCCACTGTGCTTGGCCAAATTTGGATTGTAAGTGCCTGAAGTGAGTTTCTGAAGATCTGTCTAGTAGCTGGGCAGTGTTTCGTTGAGCGCATGGACATTGTGTCCTGTGAGGAAGCAGTTGACTTGATGTTGGTTAGTGTTGGAGGTGGATGGGTACAGAATAGAAGGAAATGACAGGCAGGATCATGGTGGACATTTCCTTTACATTAGGCCAATTTCCTACTTAGGATGAAAGCAAGCTAAAATTCTTCACATAGGAAAAGTCCTTAGACAACAATAAAAAATGGCAGGGGTGTGTGGGCTCGCTCAAGAACTGAATAGGCATTTGTCAAAAGAAGAAATCTAAGTGGTCAGTAAAAATGGAAAAAAACTTAACTTCAATAATCAAGTCAATTTGGAATAAAAATAATTTTCCATTTTGAGACTCACAAATTGGCAAAGTTTTTAGTATTTTTTTTAAGTGATAATACGTGTTGCTAGTGGAAATTTTTTTAATAAAAATGTTAAATTTTATTAATAAAAATATATTGCATCTTTGAATAATATACCAAATGCTTTGGAAAATGTATATTTAAAGAGGACCCAAAAACCTGGAATTTCTTTATTAAAAAATTGTGTATTCTTGTATGTTGAAACTTCAGTCACCCTCAAAGTACTCTCCATCTGATGCAACACACCTATCGAGATGCTTTTCCCACTACTCAAAACAGTTTTTGAACTTGTCCATTTTGATACCTTTTAGTGATTCTGCTGTTTTTGTTTCACCTCTTCTACATCGGCAAATGTTTCCCTTTGCAGACTTTTTTCATGGGGGGGGTGTTGATAGAGTGAGATCGAGCAAGTGAATAGGGAGGGTGGGGCATGGAGGTCGTGGTGTGGGCAGGTGGGCTCTTAAATCACCCATCATGAAATGGGCAAAAATGTTGAAAGAATCTCCAAAAAAAAATTCACCAAAGTCGAACACAGCCTCTCACTACAACACTAGCTGGTACACTGATACCAGTGGGTTCCTAGAATACTCACCCAGTGGGCAAAGTCTGGACTACAAGGGGCCCAACCTCCAAAAGATAATTTTGGATTTTGAGGGGGTGTCCCCCTCGTACCTCTTGCCCAAGAAATTCCCTCTGGAAAATGTATTCTAAAAATTAAGATGTGCAGGAGGATATAGCTTAAGGTGACTCATTGCTGTTTGTGATGGTGAAACTGAGAAGCAACCTAAATGCCCAATAAAAAGGAAGAAGTAAACCGATGTGTCCATACAGTGGCACAGTGAATTTGATGTGCCACCATTATATGGCGCTTACTGAAAAGAAGCATTTTCACTATAAATTGTTAAGTGAAGTGATAGTTGCTAACTCATATGTATGCTATGATCCCATTTAAAAAGAAGGTTTGTTAGGATAGCACCAAAGGATTTAATGATGGTTGGCTCTAGGATTACTGTTTGTCTTCTGCCGCCCCCCCCCCCCCATTTTTCTGTAATAAATACAAGGGGGAAAGGAAAAGTATTTAACAATCCTGCATGAGGTGACCTTCTAACGAGATACACCACAGTCCTCAGCAAGCTTTGCTGTCAGAAGGGGCTGTACATGTTGTTCCAGAATGTTTGGGTTTATGTATTTGAGTTAGCGATGCTGGTTGGTTCTCATCTGGTGAGGACCACGAGGTCTGGTTTTAATTATATAAATGGCATCTTTCGTAGGTAAAGGAAGCAAATTCTAGTCGTTCCAGGGGTGGAGGAGAGAAGCATGCGGAGAAGGGGGGAGAGGTGTGTTGTATTTTATTTTTACTACTTTGTATTTAAAGTAACCTCCGAATTTAGATGGATACCTTGTTTTGTTTTGTAGGTCAAACACCAGAGCACCCTAGAAGGTTTAACAAAAAGAATGCTCATGTTTGACCCAGTCCCTGTCAAGCAAGAGGCCATGGACCCTGTCTCCGTGGTAAGTTTTCCGAAGGTGGACACCTCCTTTTTTCTCCCCATGCAATGATAATATTATGTGCTGTGTTACACCTTGAAGTCACTCACTACTTGACAGACAATTCATAGGCCACTATCTTTCAAAACTCTTAGTAATGAATGCAGTAACTACTCCTTAGTAACTATGTGTCCTTAGATAAATGGGATCCATGCTTCCTTAAGACCTAAGCCTGTCATCTCCCAGGTATGATCAGTATAGAACTTAGGCCAGGACGAATCCAGTCATGACACAACTCCTCAGCCTTTTTGTGTGTAAGATATATATTAAGAACAAAATGAACTGGGTGTGTTGGCTCATGCCTGTAATTCTAGCACTTTGGGAACCTGAGGCGAGAGGATTGCCAGAGCCCAGGAGTTTGAGGCCAGCCGGGGCAACTTGGCAAGACCTCGTGTCTATAATAAATTTTTTAAAAATTAGCCAGGCATGGTGGTATGCACCTATATAGTCCCAGCTACTTGGGAGGCTGAGGTGGAAGGATCACCTGAGCCCAGCAGGTCAAGGCTGTGGTAGTGGCTGTGATCATACCACTGCACTCTGCACTCCATCCAGCCTGGGTAGCAGAGTAATACCCTGACTCAAAAAATTAAAAAAAAAAAATAACAAAATGACTTGCTTAAAAACCAGTGACAACAGCCATGTGGAACCGTGACTGTATGAAGTGACTGAGGAGAAACCAGTGAGTGGGAGAACTTGGCAATGAGGATGGAGTCTGGTTTCGCTTGGAAGAGTCTGGCTGGGTGGGAACTGCATTCACTGTCCTTTCCAACACCTTAATGCTAAGGCCTCTGTGAGCCAGGCCACTAGATGCTGTTAGGCCACCAGGTGTTTATATAGGTTCGACACCAGTGCCATGGAGATGAGACCTGGTGGCAGAGGACAGTGCCTGACTCAGAGAACAGGGGTGGTTTGGATGTGAGGGATCTGGTTTAGTGAATATTGAATAACAGGGCAGCACTCCCATTCCATCTTGCGCTTTTCTTCCACGGGTTTGGAAAGTATTCACAAGGGGAACGACTTGGCCTGGGTTGTGTATCTGAAGGTTGGTAATGATATGCTTGCAAAATTAGATCATCCTGATGCATCGGCTGTGGAGGTTCCTGCCAAAAGCATTTATTCGAGACACGGGGGTCACTCCAAGGCCCTTGGAACTGAGTTGCCATGGTTATTACTGAGCCAGTGAAGTGTTTACCAGCTTCTCTCATTAAAGTTAAGTTGGAGTGGCTTTAAGGAAATTTACATTCCAGCCCAATAACAGGATAGCCGAGTGAATATGACAGTAGCTGCACATCAAGAGTTTGATAAATCAAAAAACTAAATTTATTTCTAATATTATTTAGTGCTGTCATTGTTTTCATTAGCTGGCCCCACCCCCCACTATTGCATGATCACATTAGGAGAAAATAAAGGTATAAAGTTTCCTCATTAATTATATCCTTGAAAGATGAATAGGTTCTTAATTTTACAAATGATGCAGAACCATCAATGATGCATTTCACTATTCAGTGTACTTCCAATGCCTTTAGTCAAGCATGAAAATAGGGCTTCGGAGCCTGATTTAAAGCGAAAATGAAGCTCCTTGTTGCACGGTTGGTGTGACATAACTACATGTGAGGAAATGCACCTCACGGGAAAAAAAATGGGAAAGAAAATTAATTGAAAGGAGGTGTGAAAATTGGAATGTTGTAACTTGTATTAGTACAGGAAGTTAAAATATGTAGAAGTATATCTGCAATTGATGATCTTTTTTTCTCCTTCAAGTGCTAGATTTCAGCTTCAGCTGATGCTTATAGAATTTAATTAGTTTCACCAAAAGTTAGTGTCAGTCCTTATAATGAAGGGTTTTTTTAATTCTTAAGTTTCTTAATTCAGTGAAACTTCACTTAACAGGGACATTTGAGAAGTAAGGCGTCAATTATTTTATTTAAAAAGTAAATAAAAGCATTCTGTTTCCACTCTTAAGTCTTAAAAATTCATCTTTCCTGCCTTCATAGGTGAAGTGTATTGGACCTAAATTATTTTTCCTTTTTTTTTTAAATTTAGTCTTTGGCCTGAAGGTCAAAGTCATTGGCTCTTCAAATCAGTGTTGAAAACATAAAGGCACTAGAGGATATTAGAAAAACATTTTTTAAATTCCACATATGAATAAAAATATTCTGCGATAATGTATCTCTCCCCCTTAAAGGACAACACAGCAGAAACAATCTGCTTGTTTGGTATTTTACTGTAGCTTAGAGAAAGTGAGGATTTGTCATTTTTCTTTTACGAAAACACAAAACTTCACACTGTTAAATTTGGTGCTTTGTTAAAATTTGCTAGACCCGGGAGTGGACTTGCCATCCGCCCAGTGTTGGCAAAATCACCAGCATTTTTTTTTTTTTTTTTTTTTTTTTGAGTTGGAGTCTCACTCTGTTGCCCAGACTGGAGTGCAGTGGCTGCTCCCGTCCATCGCAGCCTCGCCTGCTGGGCTCCAGCGATCCTTCCGCTCAGCCTTCCAAGTAGCTGGAACTACAGGCATGTGCTACCGTACCCGGCTAATTTTTGATTTATTGTAGAGATGAGGTCTCGCCAAGTTGCCCAGGCAGGTCTCGAACCCACGGGCTCAGGCAATCCACTCACCTCAGCCTCCCAGAGGCGCGGGATTACAGGCTGAGCCACTGAGCCCGGCTGCATTTTTTTTTTTTTTTGGTAAAATATGAAAATATAAAAATATGTGCATTTTATGCACATGTAAAGAAGTTGTTTTTACCATTCCTTAGAAGGTTGAACATTAAAGGATTTAATACAGGAGGTGAGCAAGGAAAAACTTATAAAATATACATATACTACTGTTCCTATGCAAAGATTACTTTTGAAGCAAGTGAATTCCTCTTTTTATCTCTTGTTAATGAAAATTGTCAACCAGTAGTTTCCTCTGCTCTGTGTTTGGTTTTGAGTCGGGGTCTCACTCTGTTGCCCAGGCTGGAGTGCAGTGACATGATCACAGCTCACTGCAGCCTCGACCTTCTGGGCTCAGGCGATCTTTCCTCCTCAGCCTCCTGAGTAGGTAGGACTACAGGCGCACACCACCAGACCCAGCTAATTATTTTATTTTTTGTAGAGATGAAATCTCACTATGTTGTCCCGGCTGGTCTCAAACTCCTGGCCTCGAGGGACCCTCCTGTCTCGACATCCCACAGTGCTGGGATTACAGGCGTAAGCCACTGCACCCAGCCTGTCCTCTGCTCTGTTCTAGAAACTCTTCATGACTCTTCTGGGCCTGGTAGAGACAGACCTTTCTACTTGTGTTTGCCACTCGCTGTTTCCAGAGTGTTTGTTTATACATGCACCATACTTTGCGTGCCTGGAACCCCTCCCTTGGATGAAGATTCCTTTGGCTTGCCCTGTCATAGACGTTCACTTTTTTCATACTAATGAAGAGTGAAACAGAGACTTCATCCATGTTTCTTTCAGTCGCTCCATCCATTTAAACTGTCTTGTAATGGAAAACTCAGCAAAACTATTCCTAATAAAATAGAAGCGATTGATTGTGGCTTTGGGAAATGAGCCAAGCCTTGTGCCCTTGTCCGCATCACAATTGCAGTAGTTTATTCAAGATTTAAAATAATTGGCATTAGCCTTGTCAGTAGTAAAAACTTGCCAAGAGTGTGTATTAATTCACTTTGTGCATTCATCGAATTTTGGGGGCCTTTTTTTGTTTGTTTGTTTTTAGTTGGAATTTTACTCTGCCCAGGTAGGAGTGCAGTGTCATGCTCCACGGCCACCATAGCCTCGAACTACTGGGCTCAGGTGATCCTTCCAACCTCAGCCTTCCAAGTAGCTGAAACTACAGGCGTGCGCCACCAGGCTAGTCTCGAACCCCTGGGCTCAGGCAATCCTCTCGCCTCTGCCTCCCACAACTGCTGGGATTACAGATGTGAGCCACCGCATTAGGCTCATCAAGTGTTTATTGAGTACCTATGCCAGGCCCTCACCTCACATTTCAGTGAGAGGAAGTAGTCAGCAAATAAATGCACACCACACCGTGTGGAGGTGTGAATATTTGATGCATGCTACAATTGACAGAACTTTTTTTCTTTTTTGAGTTGGGAGTCTCACTCCGTCACTCTGATCATGCAATGGCATGATCTCAGCTCATCGCAGCCTTGACCTCCTGGGCTCAGGCAACCCTTCCACCTCAACCTCCCAAGTAGCTGAGACTGCAGGTAGGCACCACCTCACCTATCTAATTTTTGTGATTTTTTTTTTTAGTAGAGAGGTGGTCTCCTTCTGTTGTCTAGGCTGGTCTTGAACTCCTGGGCTCAAGCAGTCCTCTTGCCTCATCCTCCCAAAATGCTTGGATTGCAGGTGTGAGCCACCATGCCAGGCAAGAACTTTTTCTTAATAGCAGATTGTTTTGAAAAGTAAACCCAGCTGGGCACAGTGGCTCATACCTGTAATCCCAGTACTTTGGGAGGCCAAGGTGAGAGGATTACCTGACCCCAGGGGTTTGAGACCAGCCTAGGCAACTTGGCAAAGCCTTCTCTCTACAGTAAAATCAAAAAATTAGCCAGGCGTGGTGGCACACACCTGTGGTTCCAGCTTCTTGGAAGGCTGAGGCGGAAGGATTGCTAGGGCCTAGCATGTCAAGGCTGCGGTGGCCGTGAGTGTGCCACTGCACTTCAACCTGGCAACAGAATGAGACTCCAACTCAAAAGAAAAGAAAAGTAAACCCAATACCACCACCACCGGTATGTGGGGGGATGACCCTTGTTTGTATCTTGTCTTTGGGCTGCTCTGTCCCCAGACATAGGTTTCCTGGGGTAAATGGGATGCAGAGGGTATTGGAGGTCTAGCCATGGCCAGAAATGTATTTTCTGTTTCAACACTTGCCCCTGATTTGAATTCCAGACCAGTACAACCATGCTTATTTATTTGCATTGCTTGGTTGGGAGATAGGGATGGTCTGGAACAGAGATGAAATGACTGTTACCAGGGTGTACCCAAGCCAAGGCACACACCCTGATCAAACCCTGTATTGTTCCTGACACTGTTACACCCAAGTAAAGTAAATCTGTCTCATAAAAGGTTCTGATAAACATTGCTGTGACATTGGCCATTGAACAGATTTGAGGGACCACATTTCTTCACCCTTTTATGAGACCATTGGACTGGAATAATCATGTGCTCATAGTTGGTCTCCGTGTCCAAACATGTGTCCCCATATTTAACCTTGTACCTGCCATTAATCGTGTGTCCAGTGTAGGGAACAGGGCATCTCACTGGAGAGTATGTTCTCATTTTGCTTTCCATTTACCTGCCAATAACTATTGGCATTAAAATCTAGGTCATAGGGAGATCTTGGAAGAACAGGGCTGAAAATAAGGAGAAGGTCCATACTGGTGAGTAGCAGAAATGCTGTCCCCATTTTCTGGTACTTTTTTTTTTTTTTTTTTTTTTTTGAATCTCACTCTGTCGCCCAGACTGGAGTGCAGTGGCCGCTCCTAGCCACCGCAGCCTCAACCTGCTGGGCTCCGGCGATCCTTCCGCCTCAGCCTTCCGAGTAGCTGGGAATTA